ACTATTACAATTTTATAAATTTAAGATCAGATATTAAATTTTAAAGCTCTGTATATAAAATTTGACATTTTATTAATACATATATATTTTGTTAAATTATTTTTTATCTATATTTATTAAGAGACAGATGTCATTATTTCTTGAAATATTAAATAAACCGAGTCGATGTTAAAGATAGGTCCCATGCACAACACCCTTTTATTAAATGGTCCATGCTGCGATTTATCTTAAGTGAACATAGTATAATGGCAACGTGCCAGATCAGATGACTGAATGGAAAAGATATATAATTTTATTAAAGTAAACATTTATTTCTGGAAAAATTAATAATACTTGAAAAGATTTTAGACGATGTTTTATCGTCGGAATATTTTGTATCGTTCCCTATTGTATAATTATGTTTCTAGTTAATAACAGATATTATTTAATAAAAAGAAATGGACTATAAGAAATATTGAAAGCAATTATCTTAAGCATTTTATTTATTTTTAATAATTTGCTTTAGTAGTGGATAATATGCCAATTATAGAGAGAAAATGAAGGTAATAAACGATATGTAATTTAAAATATGGAATAATATAATTCTTATTTTAAGTTTGAGATTATATTTATGATAAATTATACTTTAAAATAAGTAGAGGAGAAGGTGGTATTATGGAACCCCAATTACATTTTAGTGAATTGTAAACAAGGTATCATAACTACATTCACATTTTTTGTGCGAAAAGTACTGGTAACTAGTAATCTAAATGTTCCTAATTGGATTTTTCTCTAGTGTAATTATAAGTATGGTTTTTGAAGGCTTTTGTACAAAAAGTCCGAAAGTAGGCTTAGAGAAAATCGGGTGGTAATATGGAACCTTATTGTATATTTTCAAAAAAATGCTTTAATGTAGCCAAAAACAAATAGGAAAGGACAAAAAATGTTAAATAACTACCAAATTATTTACTCCAATGTATTTTATCGCAAAAATGCTTTTATAATAGAAAAATATGACCTCCATCAACAATATATATTCCAGCAGCTCTTTTTCGATATTCTCGGGAAGAATTGGCCTTCTACCTAGTGTCTTTTTCACAAATTGTTCTGGAGGAATGTCTGCTTGCAAATAGAAAGTTCGGAGGAGTTGAGTTCCATATTACTGTAAAAGCACCAATGGGGTCCGTATTTCACGCATCTCCATCTTGGGTTAACTTATGTCTGTCAAGACCAAAATTTAAAAAACGTGAACATCACACAGATTAATATATACCCCTAAGTCTCTGGAACGGAAACATGCACCAGTGAACCTACAACTACACGATTTATATTTTAAAAATAATTAAATTCACTTAGCATTCAAAACTTGCGAATTTTGAAAAAAGCGAATTTGCTGATTAAATGCGGACAACCGTTTAACTAAAGTAAAACGGGTTTTCCCCTTGCTATGGATGTCTGCCTAGTTCAGTTCAGCCACATTCCGCTACAGTTCGCCTTTATTATCAGTTCGAAATGGGGTGGTTCCATAATACCCGCAGTGTTCCATAATACCACCTTCTCCTCTATTATAAGTATTACTGTAAAAAAATTCAATAATTCATTTATTTAACACATTTAAAACGATTGAATTTAAATTTTTTAAATAGGAGTTAATAATCATTTTAGATGCTTAGAAGTAAATATTACCTTTATTGTCTGTTGTTATAAGTATTCAGATTCTACAAATATTTTTATGATTATATAGCTTAAACTTTTTATACTTAATACAAGCAGTTATGTATTGTGACATCGTCACAATGTCGGACTACAAATTTTAATTTTTTAATTTATTTAATTTAAAATATATGCGCTCCATCTCAAATTAATACTGTAGCGCCTTGCTCCTGTATATCATACTTTTCCGTTAGCAATAGAGTCGTGCCGGTCATCTATCTAACTCCTTTCAGGGGAAAATTTTTGAATTGAAATAATGTGATTTCCGGTTTGCATCGGAAGTTCATATATAGTTAAAGCTTAAGGATATGGAAAGCTTAAGGAGGCCTTCTACCCCTTAGCTTTCAATATATGGTCTTGAATTTCGTTTATCTAACACCGTTTTCGAGATTAAGGAAAGAGACGGACGACAGTGGAAATTTATAGGTTACAATTTTTTCAAATTGTATCCCAACTAGAAAGTCGAAAACATTGAAAAAAATAATACATTTATTTCTGTGAAGGATCAGAATTTAAATCCGATTCGAATTCTGGCGAAATTTTAATGAACGATCCGGCCGAGACTGAGTTCTTTCGTAATTTCGTAATTGATTGAAAATTGAAGCTTGCTGTATTAGGTTATACAACAAATTTCAATTTTGAACTAATACTTAGTGCCGAAATTCCATTCCAGTCCATTTATTCTCATTGTGAATCGTTGTACATTAAAATTTTAAAGAAAATTTTACGTGAAAATATAAAATCTATTTATATGAATTGAGCTGCAATTTTCAAATTGCAGACCTATAAATTCTCACGGCGTCTATCCGTTTGTCTGTCTTTCCTTATTCTCGAGAACGAAGATCCCAGTTGTATAATTTAACCATTAGATACATGAAAGTCGAGACCAGATATGGAAGGCTTAGCAGGAGGTTCCGATTAACTATATACGAACTTCCGGTTTGGACAGGAAATCACGTTATTTTGATTCAAAAATTTTATCCAGAACAATGTTAGGTAGATGACAGGCTTGACTATTGTATCAGGAAAGTATGATGTACAGGGACATGACACTACTGAAATTCAGAGCATATATTTTAAATTAAATAAATTAAATATATGATTAAAAATTGGAGCCTGGCATTGTGACGAAGTCACAATAATTTTGTCGATTTTTGTATTATTAATATACGCTTTATAATATATTGGAAGCTAGAAGTTTGAAATTTTGTTTTAAAAATGTTGTAATCCTAACATTTATTTCTTACAGTTGTTATTTCGGATGTTTATGTTGCTATAAGTTATCAAAAAAGCTGAATAGATTTAAACTATATTCAGTTTTTATGGGCAAATTATCGTGATTTACAGTGTATTATGATGGTTCACTAATTATATTGAAGCAAATTAAAAACTTTTTAGCATTTTTTTTTATAATTCCAAGAATTTTTAAATTTGCAATTCAAATTTTATTTATCTTCAAAATTTTTCACACATTTTCAGTTTGTTTTTCTATAATTAAAAGAAACAATAGAGACTGTATATAAATAAATTCAAAGTTTTGAACGAACTTAAACAAATGTATTTACATATATAAAGTACTGTACATGCAACTCAGATTTTTACTTAAATATTTTAAAATTTATAGTTCGAATTTAGTCGTCATTTATTATTCTTTCATTAATTTTTTATTCGGAGAAAGTATATCTAAAAATCAAATTTTTATTCACGTCGTTAATTTTTTTTAACTTTGTTTTGCGGAAATAGGTCTTTTTTCATGTCCATTATAGATTCTACTGATTAGATATTAAGAAACTAGATTCAGCGTATTCGGATCAAAGCACTCGTGAAAATTTGGGGATTATACTAGACTCAAATTCGTGTCTTTAGTGCTATAGTTTATGCCTGCACTTGCATTGGCCATCTTGTCGTCTCATTTCATTAATTTAATAAAATTTCCTGTGCAGTATTTACACCAAATAATTTTTACTGCTTCCAATAAACAAAAAGAAAAACTGAATTTAAGTTAAGTTTCATCAGTTTATAAATAACTTCTGTATAGCCTAAATAAACTAACAAGTAAGTAGGAACACTGACAAATAGGTGTATGTTAGGCTCAAAGACCGAAATCGCTCATTGAGCGAAAAAAAGGACCACGAAGCGAAATTCGCGTCATGGCT